ATGTCATTTTATGAAGCGGGAAATTGAGTATTTAGGACATTTGATATGCGAAGGTGGATATACGACCCACCCAGATAAGACAAAAGTAATAAGGACTTATCCAGCACCAACCAATATAAAAGAAATTCGAGCCTTTTTAGGACTTTGTGGGTTTTACCGAAAATTCGTTCCAGATTTTGCAAAAATCAGTCAGCCGCTTACATACTTAACGAAAAAGAACGTAAAATTTCAATGGGGGACAGAACAAGAAAATGCTTTTCAAACATTGAAAAATTCACTCTTATCACCACCAATTTTGAAGTACCCAGATTTCAAAAAACAATTCATAGTGAACACTGATGCAAGTGCGACCGCTATAGCAGCAATTTTGACGCAAGAATACGACAAAAAAGAGCACCCGATTTGTTATTCAAGTAGAACGCTAAATGATGCTGAAAGACGATACAGCACTATCGAACGAGAATGTTTAGCCATAGTTTTTGCAGTAAAAACATACCGTAATTATTTAACTGGAACTCATTTTATTATTATGACGGATCACAGACCTTTAAAATACTTATTGACAATCAAAGATGCAAGCTCTAGATTAGCGAAATGGGCCATGTTTTTGATGGAATATAGCTTTACGATACAGTACCGAAAAGGCAATTTAAATAGCAATGTAGATGCATTAACTCGTTTGCGAAATGAGGAAGAAATACCAGTGGTAGCTGCTGTAAATAAAGAGCACAACCAAGAATTGAGACCGATATCAAACGCAATTTGGACCGAACAGGAAATACAAAAACTACAAGAAAATGACGACATTATAACGAGAATTAGAGAAAATATAGACAACGAAAATTCCCCGTACTTCTTAAATAATGGAATCATTTATAAGCAAAGGGAAGAATGGCAACGAAACGATAGGATATTGGCACCAAAGAAGATCGTTCCTGAAATATTGAGGATTTACCACAATGCCGTATATTCTGGACATCCAGGACAAAAGAAAACCAGACAGATTATAGAAAAAGATTTTTATTGGACAACTATAAGCCAGGATGTAAAAGAGTATGTCAAAAAAAATGCCTATCTTGCAACTTACATAAGACGAATTATCAACCGCCCGTAGCTATGCAACAAAACATAGTACCACCAATCCCTTGGGGACGAATAAGTATGGACATCGTTGGACCTCTGAATAAAACTAATAATAGAAACAAATACATTCTAACATGCATAGATTTTCTGACAAGATATCCTGAATGTATACCAATACCTGATATTAAGGCCGAAACAGTAGCAAAGGCTTTCGTAGAAAATATTATTTGTCGGTTTGGAGCTCCAAGAGAAATTTTGACGGATTGTGGAACCCAATTAAGTAAACTGTTCACAGAAATTTGCTCCATATTAGGGATCAGGAAATTAAAAACAACGCCTTATCACCCGAGTGCGAATGGGATTATAGAGAGATTCCATAAAACTATAAAAACGATGATAAGTCACTATGTTGACGATCACAATGACAGTTGGGATGAAGTATTACCATTTTGCTTATTAGCCTACAGAAACCTACCACATGAAGCTACGCAAGATTCCCCATTTTTCCTTATGTTTGGGCGAGATATGGAACTCCCTGTACATTTAATGACTTCAAATGGACCAATAAGATATGACCTAGAAGAAAATTATGTCACAGAATTCGTAACAAAAATGCAAAATGCTCATGAACTAGCAAAAAGAAATATAGAAGCAAGTATTAATAAAAGATGTGGCAAACATAACGCTAAAAGAATTCGAAAAGAGTTTCAAGTCGGAGATTTAGTCTGTATCAAAAATCCAGTTTTACCAGGAAAGCATTTAGCACCAAAATTCCGATGTAAATGGTCAGGACCCAGTAGAATTATTCAACAATTAGGACCAGTGACTTTCAAAGTAAAAGAATTACATGGAAAGAAAGAAGAAATCCTACATGCAGAGAGACTTAAGCTTTGCAAAGGAGTAGAGGAACGAGTAGAAAGTCCTAATATGAAATCTGGAAAAGAAGAACAAAATGAAGAATTGCGAGAAGATGCAGAAATGCGAGAAAACGAATTTTTGACAAGAGGACGTGAAATTGTAGAATTTCCACTAATACACCGAGAAAGAGAGAGTGAAAGTGAAAGCAGCGAATCTGAGAGTGAAGAAGAGGAACAAGGAGAAATGTCTGATGCAGGCTCAAGTGAAAACTCCGATAATGAACAGAGAAATCCTGAAGAACCAAGGCGTACTAGAACGCGAGAAATTAAAATGCCGGAAAAATTTCGAGATTTCGTATTATAACTCAAACATGAGAGACTCTAATAGTACGTCATATATACGCTAGATAAAAATAAGATATAGCTATAGGAATTATTAACTCTAAGTACATAGGAAAAGAGAGAAAGTGAAGACTAACCAATGTATTCTTGTTGCAGAAGAAACAACAAAAGAATACCAACCTCTAAATAAATAAGATAAGGAAGGAGATAAGAAACTCCAAGAATGGCAATCTCAAAATTAATGCAGATTTTAATGCAGATAGCGTACGTAACTGCTTTAATAGCCTTCGATTGTCGAAATCCCTCGACAAATATCACAGCCATTTCACTAAAAGGCGTAAAACAATGTCCAGATCCAGATACCGGATATGAAACCAAAGAAACAACCGTACAAATAATCGAAAAGGACCAATTCGACTACGTTCCCGTATTCTCTTGTCTCATTGAAGTAACCAGAATGATAAATCATTGTGGCATGTTTTCTCACCAATCTATGGTCAACGGAGGACTGTCCTCTTATGTGTACGAAGTTGGAAGTGAAGAATGTACCAAGATACACGCATTTAGACAATTTAATGGTTTTGAAAGGAATGTCATAAATAAATTACAGGCAAATTCCACTACTTCTACTACTTTAAACCTAGCCGGATCATTGGATGCGAATGGAAATTGTGAAGGGACTACCTATCATGAAGACGGCAACGCATGGAATAATGTAATAGTCCAGGCCGACATTAAAATAACTTTGCAGAATTATCATGCTAAAGTTCATCTCGATGCCAACGAAGTACATCTTCGTAATGGAATGAAGTGCTCTTATCTAGAAGGACACTGTACAGACAGTACTTATGGAATAACGACATGGGATGTTACTCAACAAGCAGATTGTTATCACTACAGTATAATTTACGAAGGTACTGCCACCCTTGTGACCGAAGCCCACTCAGACTCAAAGCAACTAAGTTTTCTCGTAGTCGAGCATCAACAAACGATATTTGGCAAAGTGAACACCCACGATTAATTATTATCAAAACCCAATCAGTTCATCAACCAACTATCTTTTCTCATTTTAAAAAGCCATCAGACGCTGATCTGATAACCTATGTTAATACGAAGTTTTTTTATGTCGAACAATCATATAAACGGAGTATGAGCTCCATGTTTGCACAGACAGTTTATCGACGATGTCTACTTCACAGGAAAATTTTGGAAAATCGATTGATATTGGTAACATTATCCCCGAATACTGTGGCCTCATTAGTGAAAAATACTTTGGGCTACGTTGCGAAAGTAGCAGGAGAAGTAGTTTATCTAATGAAATGCGTCGCTGTACCTGTAGAATTGCGAAGAGAGGAAAATTGTTTTGTAGAATTACCAGTCACGGCATACAACGATAGTTATTTTATGTCACCGGTTACAAGAATACTACAAAAGCACGCCGAACAGACAGAATGTAGTACTCTAATACCACCTTTATTCTATATAAATAATCAATGGATTGGATTTTCTCCATCACCGTCAACGGGAATAATCCCTCAGGAACTAGAGCCCGATGCGGAAGAAAATTATGCGTTTAGGTCAATCAAGGACCTAGGATCAGGAGGAATATATACCTATAATAAAATTCGAAAGGCACAAGAAGCCATGATATTTGGATTGGAACGGAACGCCTTAAATAATCTTATCATCCGAAGAGTAGCCGGACAAGATATCCAGGATCAAGGATACACTACTCTAAACATATTTAGTAAAGAGGAATTGGAAAATTTAGCGAATAGTACTATTAAAAAATTGTACGACTATTTCACCATTTTAGGAGAATGGACTAGCGGGATTCTAGGAATTTACTTCATAATAAGGGCAATAAAATTTTGTATAGAAACCCTTATGAATGCAATTGCGATTCACCGATTAAACGGGTGTTCCCTTCATTTGCTAGCTTCCTTCTGGGATACTCTTACCTTATTTTTGCTACACCACAAACAAAATCAAGCAACCAAAGAGGTGATAAAATTAGCGGAAGCTACCGTAGAAAGTTGCCCCTCCGAGCAAAATGCAAAACCCATAAATATTGAAATTGTACAGGAAACAATACAGACGCCAGTACTTAACCCTCAAACGTCACCCCGTGCTTTTGCTAACCTGAGAAAGGATTTGGCTAGACTACCACCAGTTAATTGGAATTTATACGGACGAAAAGAGTAAATCAACAAGTTTACGACCTTGTAAAGAATGCTCTAAGAATTTAATTAAGGATAGTCAAAACAACTCTCATCCTAATGGAATAGGGCGTCGGTATAAATTATCTAGGATATAAGTAGTTTAGAAATTTTAAAACATTTTACTGCTGGCATTAGGGTAAATATTATAATTAAAGACGAACCGTCGATAGGGAGAAGCATCTAAAAGAGGTATAATAAAATGACATTTTAGGAGAATTTATGGACAAATAGGAATAGGGCTGTCGAAAGGTACATCACTTTTGAACTTTCTTAAAGTGCTTAACTAAGTGGATATGTGAAAATAATTTTTTGGGCTATCGTGTGAACCAGTGTGAACATTAAAGACTTTTGAGCCAGGAATTAAGGTGGGGAATATAAAAAGAACCAACCCGCCCGATGGAAGATAGTTCTACGCAAACAACGCGACATAAACCGTGACCGTTGCCGGAAAAAAAAAAAAAAAAACAAACAATAATAATAATAATAAAAATTTAAGATGTCAGTGTTTTTCAAGTATTTGCCTCTTATTCGGGACCCTCGGGAGCGCCTCCAACTCATAGAATCAGCCAGGGAGATGTGCATCCAAATTTATGTGAATCTGGGAGGTGACAGGATGATTCATCCAGATTTAGTCGAACCTCGGGCCCGGGTATTATTATGGCTCGAGTTGCTGGATATAGAACGACACGTCAACCTAGGAATGTTACCCTATGTGGGTGAGAATTGCAATTGCCCGGTGTGCCAACGAGCACCCCCAGCGGAACCCCAACCCACGGAAAACCAGCCACCCGCTTCCATTCCCCAAGCCGCTCCATCGCCTAGAAACGTAGGATCCCGCAATCCTATACCTGAGTACGAAGAAATAGCGGAAGTAGTACCGCAACCATCTCCACCTCTGCTTTCCAGAAAAACGTTTGTCGCCCCATCTAGAAGACAAACCCGCTCCAACTCCGTTTTAACCCCTTCCGCCTTCAGAATCCGTCCCGCAACGGTAATACCGACGGTGACCCTCGGGCCAATAAACCCATATCGAAGATCTCTGGCAAGGGCACCCACCCCTACGCCCAGATTCAGTGTTGTCCGGCGTGAAGGCCTTAGAATGCAGCTTAGCAGAGAAGCGACGGAACAGTCAAAGAACCCTACACAGTAAGCACGTATAATGTAGAACTAAAGTTAGCTTGTGAGTGAGTATTACTATCATCAACCCAAATATTTTTAAAACTTAGTAGCAGTAGAAAATTTTATTTTAATCTTCCATTTGAGTGTTAGAATTGGTCAGTCAGGGAATAATACATATTAAAATAAAGAACTAACATACAATTTTAAGGTATATAATCAAGTAGATATAATAAATATTATAGGAACTATATATTCGTAGACTAATTTAGAGAAAAGGTATATGGTTAGCTTTATATATACATTTCATTATCACTTATCGGTAATTGAATAAAAAATAGTAGTAATTTAAATTTTGGAATTCCATACTCACATTCCAGAAAAAAAAAATAAAAAAATAATTTTATATTAAATAAAAAAAAAAAAAAAAAAAATAAATGAGTCGGAGTGTAGAATTTACGTAAAACAATATTTCGTAAGAGGGCCACAATTAATTACTACCGCGAGTAAGTAAAACGAAAAAAAAATAAAAAAAATTTTTCTCACTGACCTCTTGAAGAATCCGTACCAGTTGCTGCTCCACCAATCTGCGAAATCAAACTAGGAAGTAATCTCATATATAATTTCGATTAAAAAAAGGTGTGAGGAATGTAGTGACCACAAGAAATTCAATCGAGAATAACAAAAGGACTTACCCAAACAACCATGCCAGGAGAGATCAACACGCACACCGAAAAAACAGAGACTACAAATAAAATTGTTCCGAACTTCAAAGTCCAGAAAATATTGAACGCCGACCCCTCTCAAGAAAGAACAGCCAATAGGAATTAAACAAAATAATTGACTAATACGCTAATACCTTGGAATGCGAGCTAAAGCAAAAGTTCATGCACCTTTTCTTTTAAGTGCTTTCAACAATTAACATTCCAGTGTAACCATATTTCTTAGAAGAAGCCATAAATCAGGCACGAGCCTAGACGACGACACCACTTAACAAAACCACTTAGCGATTTCCTTGAAAATTAATTAAAAAGGGGACCAAATACTGCTAATTGATCGGATGATTCAACCACGGAAGAATTTAGGACAAGATAGCCGATCATCGAGTCATCGGAAAGACAAAGGGGGAAATTAAAATATAAAAGGAGAACCTGCTAACTAGAAAAGTCAGTCTAAGTTGAGTCGAAGTCCGCAGTCTAAGTCCGCAGTCTAATTAATTGTGTGCCACCAGTAAAGATAAAGTTAACTGTAAGTAAAGAATTTCCTTTTATGTCAGGCCATCAGAAATTGTAAAAGTTGTAAATTTGGCAAGAGTGCAAGTCGAGTCAAGCGTTATAATAGAAATTTTGTAATTGTTGTTTCCCAGGGAATTTTACGTTTAAATATTATTCAACATCCCCGTAGGTAGAAACAGGAGTTTATTTTTTTGAGAACTGATTGTAAGATTAATACATTACCGACGCCCTTAGTCCAAATAAAACATTTTTATTAATTGACCAAAAAAAAATTTCTGTGTTTTACTCTCACACCCGCAAATACGACCCACATCAATCTGTGTCTCCACTCAGAAACAAAGCTACCGCTCGCCAATTTCTACATCATTCCAAGTTTCTGAGTTGGGGTCTCACATTATTAACAAATAAGATAAGAAAGGAGATAGTTAACTAACCAATTATTTTAGGCATAATTAGTATTTAAGTATAGAATAATTTAATTCATTTCACACCGTTGATTAGGCTAAGTAATTAGGTTTATTACTCAGTTACATTAGTAATTAAGAAACTGTTTGTTTCATTTTACTAGGTTAACAGACGGCATATAAGAAAGAAAGATTTTCCATTTAAAGGAAAAACGGTAATTTTCAGTTATTAATATTATATTCTTCATATGACTAGCGAACTCTATTGGAAGGCTTTCAAACTATGTCACTAAGGGTGTAAACAGGGTGAACGATACGAGAACCAATAAGGAAAGAGCAATAAGGAATATTGAGAGGGCTAGGTACTAACAGCTAGCCAATGAGCTGCTAAGAGCAGTACCCTCAAGAAATAGGGGTTGGTTCTCTCTCGCTTATTTAAGCGAGAGTTGATGCAGTTATCGGCAGTTATCGTCGGAAATTGTTAGATTAAAACAAAAACTTAACGAGTTAGTGTTCGTCACAGTCGTCGCTGGTTCCGTTGTTCTCCTAAGTTCATCTACCACTCAGTGATTAGTGGAAAAGCTCTCCAAACAAGGTGATGGTTTATTTCAGTTCAATTTCTTTTAAAATCTATTTTTTTAGTCTAAACCTTTAATTGGAAATCAAACATTGTCTTCATTAATTTTTTTTTTTATTATTCATTATTTTCTTAAATAAATTAATTTTATTCTATTAAAAATAGGAGTTTTCATTTTTGGTGTCATAAATTGCTCTTTTGGTGTCATAAATTGCACTGGTAGTGAACGAAAAAGATCTTTCGTGCCGGTTTGTGCAATTGAGGAGGAGAGTTGGCAACTTTGGCGATAAAAGGGTAAGTCATCTTGAATCTATAAACCTTTGCACTAACCATAACCGAAGAAGAGAAGAAGTGAGGTTTTTGTTTGGATTGCCTCCGGTTCGGAAAATTTCGTATTTAGGATCCTTTTCAGATTAAATTTAATTTTCAGCATAATTATGGCACCCACGTAAACTAAGATGTGACAGAATTATCCACGCTACCAAAATATTTATTCTTCTTAAGATCTCAATTTTGTCACAGTTATTTGATTATCTTGTAATTTAAAAAAATATATATTTTGATTAAATCGGCTTTTACTTGGTGGAAATCCATTATCTAATAAAAGATTTTTTTAAGTAAATTTTAATACTTATATATTTCCACAAAATTGTGGAAATATATAAGTATTAAAATTTACTTAAAAAAATCTTTTATTATAAAATATATATTGTACTCTAGTTATTAAGTTAATGTGAAATTGCTAACAATAAATTTCTGAACTGAATCCTTATGTGTGTTTTATTGGTACCTAGTAATCCTTAAATAAAACAAAATCAAAAATAAGTCAAAATTATTTATTTAAATCAGTTAGTAATTTGGTTTTATAATATCGCATATATTCACCTAAACAGTTAACTTTCTATGTTAGTATCCTTATAATTACATACATTTGATATAATATTATCAAGACTCTCACACTGATTTAACAATAATTGGTTAACACGAATTAAAAAATTATCATAATATTTGAGAAAATCAACTTGCTTCAATTTTTCTATCCACGTAAAAATAAAACATCGATCCATCATACATAGTTCACGCACATTGTTTCTTGTTAAGTACAAATTTGGCAAGTCTTTCATCACAGAAATTATTTTGGATTTATCCGATGTGGAGACGTCGCTAACAATAATATTTTTACAGCAGCTAAATCGCAGATGACTCATTTCCAAATGAGTATCAAAATATCCATTTAAAAGCCAGTTGAGATTCACCATAAAATAAAAATGCATAAATAAAAACTCAGACAAACCGGAAGCTCCCCTAAAGGGTGGCAGGAAAACCCCCTCTCATCGACATTGTCAATTTGTACTCATGAAACACTTGGTCACACCAAGTTTGACAGGTGGGATAACAGTTTCCTAGAAAGAAAACACCTAAGTACAACTGGGTGCAACCTGGTACAATCTAGAGCAACCAGAGCAAGTCACTCACGACCAAATGAAAGCGTCAAGTGCCAGCAATTCAATGACAGTCCAAAGCACGTCCAAAGTCAGGTTAGCGGAACAACAACAAAATCATAACCAAAATAGGAATAAATATTCATTGAAACATAGTTATGCACTGAGCCATTAAAATAAAAGAACTTCGTGAGTATATATCGTGTTTTATTTGATCTTATGATATAATTTTTTTTAGGAAGCGAATGGACTGTCTCCAGTTGGAAATATTACCGTTACAGAAAGATGAGCCCATTAATGATGATGACTATGACCCAGCAAAACAAGTGTGGCAGATCTATACCTGAAAACAGGTGTAACTCTATTGCGTGATGTTTTTGAAGAATTCCGCAGTATTTGTTTCACTATAGATAAATTAGATCCTGCACAATACTTTAGTCTCCCAGGTTTATTTTTTGATTGTATGTTGCGTATGACCAAGGTAGAGTTGGAGTTGTTGACGGACATTGACATTCACTTTTTACTTTTTCAAAAAGGGTATTCGGGGTGGAATTAATCAGTGTACGGAAAGGAAGCATATTGCCAATAATAAATTTTTACCAGATTTCGATTAAAGTAAACCTTCTTCATTTATTATGTACCTGGACGCAACAAATTTGTATGGGCACAGTATGTCTCAAGCCCTACCATATGGTGGTTTTCGGTGGTTGTCAGAACAAGAGATTACTGATTTGCAAATTATGACTATCGAAAATGATAATCCACAGGGGTATGTTTTCGAAGTAGACATACATTATCCCCAGAAATTACATGATGCACATTCCGATCTCCCATTTTTAGTCGAAAATATTAAGTCTCCCGGGGGAACATCGAAAACAGCAACAACAAATCTAATCCCCAATCTATACAACAAAAGCAACTATATTATAGATTATAAAACTTTGAAGCAAGCTATTGAGAGCGGTCTTGTGATAACGAAGATACAAAGAGTTTTAATATTTAATCAATCCCCCTGTTTGAAAAAATATATTGATTTCAATACAAATTTAAGGAACAAATCCAAAAATATGTTTCAATTAGATCTTTTTAAATTAAAAATTAATGCAATTTTTGGAAAAACAATGGAAAATGTAGAGAATAGAAAGGACATAAAATTAAGTCAGTGGGAGAACTCCAGGCGAAAATTGGGGGCTAAAGCATTAATAGCCCGACCAAACTTTAATAGTAATTCTATTTTTACAGAAGATTTTGAGGCTTTTCAAATGAGAAAAGTAAAAATAGTTTATAATAGACCAATTTATATCGGATTTTCCATACTAGACATGTCGAAGATTGCGATATATGATTTTTTTTTACAATTTCATAAAGACTAAGTTTGGGGATAATGCTTCCTTGCTATACACCGATACGGATTCTCTAATATTGAAAGTATATACCGACAATTTTTATCAAATAATGAAAGAAAATCCAGAAAAGTTTTATACGTCCAACTATCAAGGTGGAAATATTTTTCAAATAAGGAAAAGTGAATCGGTTTTGGGTCGAATGAAAGATGAGTTTCTGGCGGACCCAATAAGAAGCTTATAGGGGACGGGCGCGAAGGCATACTTCATTAACTCTGTTCGAGATGAAATCAAAAAAGCCAAAGGTGTGAAAAAATCTGTCACAAAAAATAGTCTATGTATGGAAGACTATCGAAATATTGTGGAACGTGGGGGGCTAAAATTTCGGAAAATTCAACACACCATCGAATTTATATCAGTCTTCCGACATCAGAAGATTTTGTTCCAAATAGTCTTTCACCAGAATGTTTTCCGACCACCTTATTTTTTCGAGTGTAACCCTAGACGCCAACATGGGTACTCCTGAGGGTACCCAACACCTCCTCGACGATTTCGAGGATTTGGTCGCAAATAATCCGGTTATATTTCCGAATGAGACTCCTTCACCAATACAAACAGTATTGGAGCCGCCAACAAACAATTTTACAGTCTTCGAGCCTCAACCTGAAGTCGAACCTGAAGTCCAAGTGATGTCGCCTCTTCCACCACCTCCATCAGCAAAAAGCCCAAAGATTGTTATTAAAAAAAAAACAGGAAAGTCTCCATACTGAGAAAAAGATTACAGATGCCGGAGCATCAAAAACTCATTATGGAGACTCGAAAATGTAAGGAGCTCTTTGAACAACAATTACACCACCTACAGTGCGATGTGATGGAGGTGGAAAGACTGATGGAGAGGCCAGAGAGCAAACCGAACTTCTAAAAGTAGATCTACAGGTGAAGCAAGGAAGATTGGAAGATATAAATAGAAATAGTATAGAGTTTAAAAATTGTATTATGGATCTATGGAATTAAATTGGTATTAATAACCTGATAATAATTTAATTCCATAGATATTAGGAAATAGGAAATTTATTGTAATATATGTATAGAAATAAAATTCATTATTAGGTAAGTTTATGTATTATGTATTAACTGTATGTATATTTAAATAAAATATCAAATTTTAAAACAAAAAGACTTGTCTTGAAAAGCAATGGAATGGAAATTTTTAAAACCCAATAGTTTCCAATGAAATAGAATGAAACTTTTAAGGTAAAAAATATTCGAACTGCAAAAAGTTTTGAAAAGTTTGAGAAGATACCCATTTTTTATTCGTATTTTCCAAGAAAATAGTTTTGAGAAAATCTGATTTTTTCACATTTTCTCATTTTTCCCCAACATTCAAAATCACTTCAAATTTTATATACAAAATTATTCAAGAATTGAGCTATTGAGGGCAATTCAATAACTCAACAAACCTTTTGATTTCAGAAAATTTACCCATTTTTTCTTCATATTTTCCAAGAAAATAGTTTTTGAATAGTTCAAGAAAACCCCCATTTTTCCACTTTTTCCATTTTTCTTCAACATTCGAAATCATTTCAAATTTCGTATGTGAGAATATTTGAGAATTGGGTCACTGGAGGATTCAATAATGAGAAATCTTGTGATTTTAGAAAAAAGTTATAGGTGATGGGGTGGGGGTTATCATTGTTTGGAATCACATATAAATGCGAATTGAGGGGTGAAGATTCATTCCTTCAGATAGATTCGAAACGCTCATAAAAATATTAAACGCAACAATGTCTTCCAATGATAGTATCGAACCAGCTCAGCGTTGGGTTTTCGAAGATGACGACGCTGTTTTTTCTGCTTCCACGGAACCAGCCCAACGTTGGGTTTTTGAAAATGAGAAAGATGATCAAACATAGCAAGAAGATGAACAAGAGGTGGAGGATGAGCAAACAGAACCAGACTCTTCCAGTTGGTGGATTATACCTCCACAACAACAACATCAAGAAGAAGTGTATGACGGACCAGCTGACAGTACTTGGTGGTTCGTTCCAGATGTGCTACAAGAAATAAGAGAAGAAGAAGATGGTCCAGCTGATTCAACAACCTAATAAATAAGGGCTCAAGTACTTTATTGACAAAAAAAGTCCTGCTTCCCTTGAGTGAGATACCTACATCTTATTTCACATTATACTTGGATAAGAATTTCTTGGGAATTTACATGAATATCATATTTTAGACATACTAAACGAAACTCACATACATATAGCGTATCCACCGATAATCTGAAAACAGCCTTTATTTACAAGTTTTTGTACAGCGCCTCTGGCAGGGAACCAGGCCGGGGCGTCGGGGATTACTACTGGAACAGGCGCAGGAAGTAGACAAGAACTGGATGAGGACGTCGACCGCTCGATGAAGGAGATTTTTGCGGGCGTATTCGGCGCAACCCCTGGAGACGGTGGAGTTACCCGAAAAGGGACCACCAAGACAGACCGAAGAGGCTCACTTACACTAGATTTCATATGGGACGACGGAAAAAAAAGCTCGGTCCATACGACGCAAAGAAGCAGCTCCATAAGCCACGACAACCCAGCCAAGAGGAAACATCTAGAAACATTAACTGATACGGAGCAAGAGACATACAAAAGAAGAGAATCAACCGAATTCTCTGCCCTCAGAGAAGCCCTAGACTTGATATCAAGTCTGAGCGCAGAACTAGATGGAAACATCGAGCAAAATACCACACGCAATATCAAAGAAATTGCGAAAAAACTCAATAAACAGGTAAGAGCCCTCAAGGGTTCCCTGATCACAGAGTGGCTCCAGAGAAATAGATACGAAAAGGCAGAGAAGATGACCTACGAGGTCGACTCTCAAATACACGCCGAGAACCGGACGCCAGTAACACTCACACCTAGTGGAGACAACCAAATATTACAAATTTAGATTAGTTTCTAAATTTATTAGAAAAATAACGTATTCATTTAAATATATTTTTAGTATTCAGGTGAAGCGGCCAATTACGGTTTGCCGGAATACACTTTGCTTGTGGCCTATGACGAATCAAGGGGTACAGCCGGTCCAGTAGCAGCAATGGTAGTAAATCTAAGCCAATCCGCGTCTCCTCCTTCAGACTACTTCACAAAGGTAGATGGAGAACCTGAAACTTTTGCTGATTTCATAATGACGGCGTGCAAAGAATTTCGGGGAAAAAATAAGGCGATTCCCGGGGCAATGATTATTTTATATAGGCAAGTTGGCAACATCAAAGAACATGAGGTGGATGTTGGATGCCCAAGGTATAAGGCAGGTTGTCTACAGAATGTGAAATATGCACTTTGATTGGCCTGATACAGTCAGGGTGCCAGACATATGCCGGCATGAAGTAACATTTGCTTCTATTGTGGTCGAAAAAACTCGTGAACGTAATCATCAGCAACCTGGCATTCAATCTTCTCTCTGAACGTGATCGTACTGCGCCTGGACTTTAAAGACTCTGGTATTTCAATATCAATGTCTGTAGCAAGTTTCTTGTATATTAATTACCACACATTCTTCAACTCCAAAACCCACAAGTGAAATAGGAATATTTTTGGTATAATGGTAGTAATTTAAGGTAAAATTTAAATTTTCCCTACCTTATTTAAAGATGCAGATCAAAAAAAAAAAGGAAAATAATTAATTTTTTTAAAAGGTGATCGCAGTATGTCACAGGTGCGGCGTCGACGATTGTGTCCATATGGGGGGCAATAGGGATAATTGGGAAAGCGAAGCTGTGTCTATGGAACCATCAGAGGCATATTTAATGCAGTAAGTACATAATTTAGAATAGACTCAGGGTTCCTAGCCAGACTGCTTTCAATGGTGGCTCTCACATTTTCAAATGATTATTTTATATAGTGAGGCAAATGAGGCTTAGCAAAAAAAAGCACTGGATGTTCTAGAAAGGCTGGACGATCAGTGAGGTAGGCCTAGCCCTTGTTTTTCACCCTTCCTGTCTAGGGTCCTGATACCTTCTAATATCTGTTCGAATTACTAAATTTTTTGATGTAGTTGGACAAAAGGACACATTTTTAAAATTGAGCACTTCAAAGATATTTTGTGATACCTACAACAAAAAGTTTACAAACTCAATGCTTGGCGATGTTAAGCATAAGGTCACCTCTCACAAATTATTATTTTTCTATATTATAGAACTGATGGGGAGGAGGTGCAGGATGTACAGAGTTTTGAAGAACTCCTTATCGCTAATATGGAAGCTAGACCTGTTCTGTGGAACTCTAAATTAAAAATATCCCAGAGAGGAAAAACTGAGAAGGATAGGCTCTGGCTAGAGATAGCAGATTTCTTTGGAAGTAAGTATTGAGGACTTTTGTTCAGAAGTCTTACTTAATGAAATTGGTAAATAAGAGAAGTGTAACTAGTACAAGTTTTCAGATCAGTATACAGTTCCATATTTACAGAAGTAATGGAGGAATCTGCGGGACCAATTCATCAAAACAGAGGGAGAGCTGGAGGCCTATGTTCCAAGCAGTTCGGGTGCTTTGCCCAAGAAGAAAACTTGGAAGCATTTTGAGTCCCTGAAATTTTTGATGGACTCAATGTTCCAGAATATGTGAGCAGGGGTTTTCCAGAGAGGCCTTTTTATGGCAAAATATTTCAAAATGGGTGGGGGTACTAAAAAATTTTTTTGGTCATGGAACTGGTCATATAACTTATTTTTTATTAAGAATACAAGCACCTTCAAGTTTTTTCTTTATGACTTTTTGGTTATTTTTATATTTATTTTTCAGAATAATCAGTTATTTTCCCTCCCAGAGCTCTTCTGCTGGTGTATCGTCCGCTGCATGCGTTTGTCAGAGATGCTAGAACAGGCGCAGCTGAACCCTGAAACGAGGGTGGATTTGGAAATCCAATTACTGACTTTAACAAAAAAATTTAAATATGAAAAAATATAAATCTAATTAAGCCAGTACTTTTGTGTTTTTTCATTTCCTATAATAGCTCTGTTCCAACAGACAATGAGCGTTCTAGAACGGTAATTTCCAGTTGATCAATTCATTTGACAATTAAGATAATCATTCAACCAACTCATTGAAAAATAGGTGGTCAACTGGAAATTACTCGGTCTGGAACGGTTCTCATGTCTGTTGGAACAGAGAAGAACAAATTTCATATTAAAAGTTGTGAGTTGTAAATTAATTGATTTGCAAATGGAACAATAACACTTTTTAAGGCGCTTCTAAACGGGCAACATTTTTACTGCAATATGTGGCTGCAACAGAGTGGCCGGCAACATTGCCAGCAATAACAGCCAGACTTTGCAATATTGCGTAATATTTTTAGTATGGCCCGGCCATATAGCTACATAGCTTGGTATTGCCGCATTTATTTATATGTGTTGCAGCGAAGCTTTCGGACGATCGCTTGGCGAGCGAAAATACTTAAAAAGATGGATGGGCTGTTATTTCCGAAAAATTTGGTATAACCAGTGATGAGACTTACAAAAAATTCAGAAGCTTGAGAACTTACGCAAAGAATGAGGAGAAAAAGAAGATTAAAAGCGGTAGTGCCGGCGGTAAAGTAGTGAAATGGTTTGCTTTTGACGCGATATCGTTTATTCCCACTCAAGATACCCCGAATACCGGATTGGACAGTGAAAATGCAACACAGATGAGTATCTTTATTATTGTATCATTGACTGATAATGTAGGTACCCACGGAGCAAAAAATATTTCGCTCCTTTTTAAATAAAAAGATAACTGGACTCATGTTTTGTTCTAAAATGGACTTTTCGTAAACGTAATTATTGAAAACGTAAACAGACATATTATAATGAAGCGTACTACACAAATAGGATGTAAAAGTACTGATGTACTGCCCGGTGGATATTTTTATATAGTACAGTGATATCAAGTTCTTTGTGCTAAATATTTATCTTGCCATGCCACTCGACTCTGCTCTGTCATAAAATAATTCATAAACTCGTCTCTCCTTGATTTTGCTCTTGTGGTTGCATTTCTCCCCAGTTTTCTTAAATCTGCTAAATGTTGTTCATCCAATCTCCACGAACCTGGTGTTACTGTTCCAACGTCTATGTCTTCACGATCAAAGGACCCAGGTGGTGAATACAGAAGTAGTCGTCAAAACCCGGGTACTCATCAACCCCCACTCCTATGACGTCACGTTCCTGACCTTGGCCTTGGCCTTGAAAAATGACCTAGTAATGTTCTGACGTCACACGACCTTGGCCTTGAGTTTCTGTGCGACCTCGAGTGTGCGCAACCATGAGTTGACGCGTGGCCTTCATTTATCTGGGTACACTATTTTATGATAGGGTTGGCAGCATATAGAGAGTACATTTCTTGTTGAAACAGCAAAGAGCATCAACTATGGCAGATGAAGGTATTTCATGTGACATCGAAGGGAGGTGCTTCATCATCTCCTATTTCAGGCAACGAATTGATTTCCCTATCACCGGATTGGATCATAATGATCTGATAACGTGTAGGAGATGTTATGATTCGTGGCTTGGATGGCAGAGATATTTCGAAATGCTTAGATATGGAAATGAGAAGGTACATCGACATGTAACGGTATTTGATGGTGATATGATACCACCAGATCTTATACCTAAATGTCACCTTTGTTGTCATCCATGTTTCCTGATGGTGGATACAGTGGATTGTCTGATATGCCATATGTGATCCCTGCATACAAAAATTGGCCCTTTTCAGGGCCACAAAATACTTTGATTGTAGTTTAGTTGTTTTGGCCTATTTGCTTGTTTGTTAGTCTATGGTTTGTTAGACCTTTCGAGCCTATGGTTACCCCGCAAAAATCCCCATGCAAAAATCTGATGGGTTAAGTACTTTGAATGCTGGTCCAAAGTGACAGTATGGTCTGGGACTGGGACCCCAAGAAGTTGGAAATCCTTGGTAATCCTTCTAAGAATAAGAGAATATCTTCATAATAAATTTCGAACCGTGAAAAAATCTACCATTTTCAAGGCAACAAAATATTCCCATAGTAGGTTGTTTGACCTAGACAAAATCAGTTTGACCTCGACAAAATCAACTTTTCACAGGGTAGTGAAATATTTTCATAGTATGATTTCATTCAACTACCAGTGACAACACGTTATCAATATGAAACCAACGGCTATTGTTAAACCCTATTCAATAAATAATGAACGTCTTTGCATGTTATGTGATACGCGTAGTGTTGAAATTAATGAATCGGGCTTCTGTAATTCGTGCGCGAATCCGATTGTGAAACATTTGGTGCAAATTGCACGAAATTATTATGAAGAACAAATGTTTAGAGCTGCTCCACGATCAGTAATTTTGCAAAGGTGTAGAAACATTGCTCGGAGATTGGTTCTAGAAGAATTCAGTGAGCCTCAATATGTAATGATAGCCGAGAGCTTACAAGAGCTTCTGGAATCTTCATTGAAATATTATTATTCATAATAATTGGGCACTCCTGGGTTCATATTCAAAATTTTGAGAACCCCTGTGTTTGAAATGTTTCTTTCTCTCTTCCAAAGCGAATGGAATTTAAAAAAGGGTGTACCCCTGTCCTATTTGATGCCTCTACATGGTTGAAAAAATATTTTGACCATGAAATGGACCGTTTTCTTTTCTCGTTGTGTGTGGAATGTTAAAAAGGGCTTACACCTGTCCTTCTACCTGTCCCTGAGATATCGACCTTGCTTTCGACGGTTAATTCAACCCTCAATCGTGGGTGTTTGGTGGGAGAAATTTTTTTTCGAAAGAATTTCTTCACTCTTCTTGCAGACCCAAAATTAGTTGTGACGAACAGTTCTTCATAAACGGTTTTTTAATTTCACGCGACTCGGAAAAAAAAAAAAAAAATGGATTCGCAATTCGATGCAATATATTTGGAACCGTCGGCGCAAGAATATATCGACGAAGAAATCCAGTCGGTTCCTGTTGATCTTCTTGACGACCTGTTGGATCGTATCGGGGGTGCGCAATTTTCATCCGATCTGCCAACCATCGAGCTTGGCGAAAATGAACTATTAGACGATGGTTGTGCGCAAATCGATGCCCTCGAAGATAAACCATCCAAGGACCTGCGGCCCGAAGATGACGATCCCCTTAATAATGGCTGTGACGCGGAGTGTGATGAGGCGATGGCCAATTTCTTCCACCAAGTTGAAGATGGGCAGCGGGATGGACGGGAGAAGGTGCGCGTTTTAACCAACGTCGTCATAAGGCCGCGAATTGTGAGCAAGCTGGAGAAGGCATTGACAATGCCTTCGAAAGTTGCTCGCAATAAGCGGATGTTTTATGAGGCGGTTGATGATGAGAAAGCAAGAAAACGGGGAAAAATATCAATCCCCGCCCATCCCGAAAAGCCTATCCCAATAATTGCGAATGTTGAGGTGATAGAGGGACCTGGTGTGGTGTCACAGCCATCACCCAGAATAATTCAGGTCGCGCCAGTGTCACAGCCCTCACCCACAATAATTCAGCTCGCGCCAGTGTCACAACCCTCACCCACAATTGAGCTCGCGCCAGTGGAAAGTGAAATGTCGCCACCGCCGCCGATATTTCCATCGGACGATAATGATGAAAAGTTATCGCCAATCATCGGCGGTGCTCAACATAGGAAACGGGTGCGAGCTATAAAAAACAATGTGTGTGTGGAATCCCCCATCGGTATGGGTAAACATAGGAAATCATTGCGGGCTGTGGAAAAGATTACGGGTGTCGAATCTGAGGAATCTTGTGTGCCTACAGCATCCGCGGAATCTTTTCCACAGCCGGATTGGAGCGGGTTTACGCCATCACAGATAGACACTTTCACGCGCGCAAATGAAGCTGTTCCAGGTGATCCGATAACGGCTTTCTTTGGTACCGGAGCTAAAGCCTATTACATCAAATCATTGAAGAATGAATTGAAAAAAGCAAAAGGTATCAAGAAATCCGTAGTCGAAAAACACATTCACCTGGAAGATTATCGCAAAGTTGTCGAGAGTGGTGGTTTAATATTTCGAAAAATGAAAACTTTCCGAAGTGAGCGGCACGATGTTTATACAGAAATATTGAACAAGGTCGCTCTTTCCCACTATGATGATAAACGCTTTATAATACCAAATTCGATAAAAACTCTACCTTGGGGTCATACAGATATTATATTTCATAAGACGGAACCGGAACAGATTCAACAGATTTTAACCAGTATGTGTGAAGAAGGTTTATCAGATCAAAACAATCCAGAAAATGTATTAATCGAACCAGATAATATAGAAAATATGTTAAGAATGTGTGAAGAGCTTTTGTCGAAGGATGATTGATTGGTGAATGACAGACCTGAAAACTGGAAAATTCATATTTTGTATTTTATTTTTTAATTTTTAATTTTTTATGTTTTACAATATTTTGTATTGTTGTATGTTGTAAGGATGAATTTATTCTAAGATGTTTTTATTGTTGGTATTATTAAAAATATTGTATAAACAGTTGTTTTATTTACAAACTTATGTGACAAAGAAGAAAGGAAAAAAACCGCAACGGATCTTGTTGGAACCACACAAACTCGAGCCCACCCCCCACTTCTCAAACATAGTTGGCCTTGAATTTGGCCTTGAATTTTCAGATCCCCCCTCCCCTCTGTCAGACGACCCCAAGATATCTATAAAATCTCTTCGGAACGAGGAAAGTTATTATAGTCACACGGGCATCGTTTGTATTACGACCTCGCTCACTTGAAAGTTAACTAGAAATATTGTGTTAGTGAAGTATTCTGAAAGTGCATATTCAAGGTACCGTATAATCTGTTACATTTTTCATAAATTATGAGTATTTCAAAAGATACCTTGGTTGAAATTAATAATATGCTCAACAAAGATGTTAATTTTCTCGAAAGAAGAAAAGTTTCTTCTTTAAAGTTGGATGAAGTTTACATAATTAGGAAACTGGTGCCGATGGTAACACGGTTTGGTAAAACTATTCTTGCCACATTGTATGATAAAACAGAAGATGTGACTTTTGAAACATTTTTGCCAAAGCGTGTAGCCGAAATGTTACCGGAGAACACCGTCGAAATTATGAATTCTTCTTCTGAAAAATATACGTTATCATATTTGTGGCAAAGTTCGCATTCATATGGGGGTAACTCTAAGTCTCTTTTAAATTTCGGGTCTTTGGAATAGATTTTACATTATGGGGGTGGACAGCATATTATTAATCAATAGTTTTCGAAAAATGTAATGAGTTTTAGGGTAATGTAATTTGTACATATAAGGATACATTCATATTTCAAATATTTCTAAAGATGTGTGACATCAGCAATAACACACCAAGTGTTAATGAAGAATTGGATTTCTACGTGATCTGGCTGGCGCGCAAACTAGGAGACATGGCCCAGGAAATATTACATTTCGAATATTTCAACACGGATGTTCCTGCAAATGGTCAGAATTATTCGAAATATGTTCAAGATGCCATCAACTTCAATGCCGGAGCAAACTTGTGCCGAAGATATTTGTATGGTTCCTTTGGTCTTGATGAATTCTGTAGTGGAATGATCGAGGAAGGTCTGAAAACATATCTCATCGAAATACCACATATGCCAAGTGAATTGGTAGCAAAATATGAGCTAGTACCGGAAGGCGGCCCCAGTGATGGTGATGATGATTGAAGAAATGAACAAGTTGAAATTACTCTAGAAGTAGAAAGTTGTGAATAATTAGGTCTAGTTAATTGTGCTAATGTAATAATAAATCTTTATACCTACATATTGTTTCGCTTTTTGTTTTCACCCTTTACTTTTGGTTAGTTTCCCTTATAAGCCAACGATTGATAATTACTAGGTTAGTTCTATCTAAAAATGGGACGTGTTAACAACACTTTAGATAAATTTGGTCGTCAGAGAGTATCCGATAAACATCAGTTCTTACGTGGTGCCCAGGGAAACGGATTCAAGTTAACTTCTGATGGTCACTATGATATTGAAGGAAAGCGTCTATCAAATGTTGCAAAACCGATACTTGATAATGACGTTAGCACCCAAGAGTTTGTTCTTGACAACATTCGGTTTGTTCATGAGCAAATGAAATCTGTATTAGATGAATTAAAAAATCGTATAAACGAAAGATTTAAGAGCACAGATAAAAAAATGGATGATATTGGAAACATCTATATAAGCAAAGATCTAGAGAATGATAAAAAAATGCGTAATTTAGAACGGCGGATGGAAAATAACGAAAAAAAACTAATAAATATCGACATAAGAGTTAATAATTTCATTTCTTCATCGAAATGGGGGGTGCAAACAACACAATAGATAAGTTTGGTCGTCAGAAGACAGTTCTTGATGACATAGTTCAAATTCTACGTGGTGCGTCGGGAATAGGATTCACGCTAACATACGATGGTCAATTTGATAATGGGGGAAAGCGTTTAATGAATGTTGCAACACCGGAAACCAGCGATGATGCTACGAACCAACAATATGTGTTGAAGGAGATCCATAAATTGCGCGTAGAGTTAACACAATTAATCAACAAAATATATCTAGCTATTTATGAAAGTTTGACAAATGTTGACGACCGAATGGTTACATTTGAAAATAAAATCAAAAAATATGATGCACAAGACGAAAATATTGTGAAGAAAATAACTGTTTTGGAAAAGACAATGAGACAGCACATGAAAAACTTGATGGCAGTTGAGAGGAAGGTTAATAATATGATTGTAGCTAGCAAAATAAGAATCTGACAGAAGTAACATTGAATAAATGACCATTCGTTATTCTTTCGAGTGTATTCGCCCTTGATCCACACTCTCCCACTCGAACTTCATAGTATTTATACCCACATATCTAAGTTTGAACTCATTAGTTTGTCTGCACGATCAACAGTATAAGTTTAGAACCAGAAAAATGAATACTTCTGGTGTCAAGCAACAAAGCACTCTTACACCAAGTTCGCTGAATCCTGAAGCACCCATCGAAATATTGGACACACCGAATTCGTCTGATCGTTCCAGCCAACCAATACCCAAATCAGATATCCCTATCGACTTATCAGATATGCCAACCTACAAAATATGTCAAGAGCAAAGCGTAAATTATTCATCTTCGATATTTAGCCAGGAAGGACAGCGTTGGGATTTGGACGAAGAATGGCAAATTCCACGAAGACCTTCATCAGTATTTTTACAAGATTCTCCACCATCTTTTTCCAATGCTTCATTTGAGCACGAAGAACAGTGTAAGGATTTAGGTGAAGAATGGCAAACCCATTCAAGACCATCATCACCATCTTTACTGGATCCTCCAACGTCATTTAGTCAAGAAGGACAACGTTGGGATAGTCTAGAAGGACAACGTTGGGATAGTCAAGATGGACAATGTTGGGATTTAAGTTCTGAAGACTGGGAAATCCCAATCATCTATTAGATGCTTCAACATATTTTTGAACTGTTCCATTCAACATGTTTTCCAGTAAAGAAGATTTTTAGACTTTAAATTTTGTATTAATCAAGTTTTATAATAATTGAATATGAAATAAAACAAAAATCCCAAAAACTTGTTTATTTATAATCCTTATATTTTATGAATACTTAAAAACTAATAAATATTTAAACAATATCAGATTTATCTATCCACGAGTTGAACTGATTCGGAAAGCCTAACCATTTAACATATAACTGTTTTTTATTGTCTTTTTTACGTTCGCGAAGAACTTTCTCAACTAAATAAACATTTGGGCTTCTCGTCTTCTGCAGCTCAGCATAGAAACAGCCTTTAATTGGTTGACCATCCACAGATTTCAACTGATATGTAGGTGGATTGGTAATGTTAACTTTCACTATCTTAAACAGTTCTGTTGACCAAGATGGTGTATATCCTTTATCAAATATACTTTTATATTTGCTTATCCGCACAATATCTCCCAGACGAAATTTATATTTTTCAGGTATCACCTTGATATGATTGTACATCTTCAAGTCAGTATTTTTTTTAACATTGATGGGTTTCATGCCGATGGTTCGATGTTTGGTATTATTATAGGTTTTCGTTATTGCTGGTAAAAGATGTAACCATTTATTGGATCCTCTAGCAGAGAACTGCTTATATAGATTATTTTTGATGGTTCTTATAACCCGCTCTACAATTGCTGCCTTCATCGTACTATAAGTTGAATAATGATTAATATTGTGTTCCTTCATAAGAGCGTCAAAATTCTTATTATAAAACTCCTTTCCATGATCACTTTGTATATTTGCAGGTGTGTATGCAGCTTCTTCTATTATACTTTTCATTGCCCTAGTAACTTCAACACCTGTTTTGTTCTTGATAGCTCTAACGTATAGATATTTGGAGTAACAATTGATGCATACCAGAATGTATCGATTCCCATCATTTTCAGCAGCAAATTGCTGCATTTCTGCTAGATCTATTTGCCACAAGTCTTGATACCCCTTAATAATCGTTCGTCTTCGAGTAAAATTTTTCCTCGCTGTTCTATGAAGTTCTTCGACAATTTTAAGTTTTTCATTGCTAGGTTCCATGTCTATTCGAGTGTTGCACGTCTGGTGGTACACTGATGTGATGTATACATTGCTCAGTAAATTATACCCTCTTCACGAAGCTCTTCTATGATTGAAATAATTTCGTTTTCATGTCCGGTATGTCCTGCCGCCTTGGAACTCCACAATAAACGTAATCTATTCACCAACTCCTTCGGCTTATTCCAATAAACATATTCGGGACGTTGACATGATAAAAGTTTTTTTTGCTTTATGGTAGATTTATTGTTCGTTTTTCGAACACCTTCACCCAGTTTCGTTTTTCGCATCAAGGGTTTAATGATTTTCGAATATTTTTCCCACCTAGTTTCCGTCAGTCCACGTTTTTTATCATAGCCATGATATACGGCATTTGTTAAATCTAAAATATTTCTGTAATTTTGAAGTACAGATGGACTCATTTCATCCACTCTATCCAACACCTGTGGACTTTTCAAAAACAACAAATCGTAAAGTTCGCTGCTTCCATCGAATATGGCAATATTTCTCGAAAGGTCATCATACAATGATACTTTTCCATCCATAAAACGTACTTCCTTATTGCCAATGTATGTCTTCTTTTTTGTTTTACTACTATTACCGTAATGAACCCCATAAACGGTATCATATTGAGATGGTGTTGTACTTAGACCGCTCAAAAGTGTTTCAAGATATCTCATAGATTTTATAGACGTTTTACCGCTAGAATGATCGGATAATATAGCGGATTCAACTGATGATGGCGGTGTCTCGAATAGTTGTTCCTTTCTCGATACACCTA